GTATAGGTTAACCGAAAACCAAACGGATTCGGAGGGAGGATAACCGTTTTTTGGAACTACATACCCAGCCCTAATCCGGAGTGATCTGTGCATACTGCCAGGAACCGCTTCAAAAATTAAACATGTTAAATTTGTTGTGGCGTCATGGCAATTTCAAATGGAGCGTGTTCATTTGCGTTTCACAACCCTGTTGACCGTTTATTTTTTTTGGCAGTTCCCGCGGGAAGTTTACTATAGTTACTATAGTTTACTATAGTAAATACCATTGATTTCTTGATTTTGATAAGCTATCGAGCAATGTTACTATGGTAATTACTAATGGTTCTTTCCCTATAAATAACCAGAACCCGAGTCCCAAATTACACTTAAATATATCATATCCATCTCAATAACTGTCCAACAGTAACAACTCTATTTACCTCTGCCTCCTTCCTTCTCTCTCATTAACTGTCCAACAGTAAGAGTTCTATTCACCTCTGCCTCCTTGCTTCTGTGTCAGTAACTGTCCAACAATAAGAGTTCTATTTACCTCTGCCTCCTTGCTTCTCTCTCATTAACTGTCCAACAGTAAGAGTTCTATTCACCTCTGCCTCCTTGCTTCTGTGTCAGTAACTGTCCAACAGTAAGAGCTCTATTCACCTCTGCCTCCTTGCTTCTGTCTCAGTAACTGTCCAACAGTACAGCTCTATTCACCTCTTCCTCCTTGCTTGTCTCTCAATAACTGTCCAACAGTAACAACTCTATTTACCCTCTGCCTCCTTGCTTCTCTCTCATCAACTGTCCAACAGTAAGAGCTCTATTCACCTCTGCCTCCTTGCTTCTGTCTCAGTAACTGTCCAACAGTAACAGCTCTATTCACCTCTTCCTCCTTGCTTGTCTCTCAATAACTGTCCAACAGTAACAACTCTATTTACCTCTGCCTCCTTGCTTCTCTCTCATTAACTGTCCAACAGTAAGAGTTCTATTCACCTCTGCCTCCTTGCTTCTGTGTCAGTAACTGTCCAACAATAAGAGTTCTATTTACCTCTGCCTCCTTGCTTCTCTCTCATTAACTGTCCAACAGTAAGAGTTCTGTTCACCTCTGCCTCCTTGCTTCTGTGTCAGTAACTGTCCAACAGTAAGAGCTCTATTCACCTCTGCCTCCTTGCTTCTGTCTCAGTACTGTCCAACAGTAACAGCTCTATTCACCTATTCCTCCTTGCTTGTCTCTCAATAACTGTCCAACGTAACAACTCTATTTACCTCTGCCTCCTTGCTTCTCTCTCATTAACTGTCCAACAGTAAGAGTTCTATTCACCTCTGCCTCCTTGCTTCTGTGTCAGTAACTGTCCAACAATAAGAGTTCTATTTACCTCTGCCTCCTTGCTTCTCTCTCATTAACTGTCCAACAGTAAGAGTTCTATTCACCTCTGCCTCCTTGCTTCTGTGTCAGTAACTGTCCCAACAGTAAGAGCTCTATTCACCTCTTCCTCCTTGCTCGTCTCTCAATAACTGTCCAACAGTACAACTCTATTTACCTCTGCCTCCTTGCTTCTCTCTAAATAACTGTCCAAGAGTAAGAGCTCTATTCACCTCTGCCTCCTTGCTCTCTCTCTCAGTAAATGTTCAACAATAAGAGCTCTATTCACCTCTTCCTCCCTGCTTCCCTCTCACTAACTGTCCAACAGTAAGAGCTGAATTTACCTCTGCCTCCTTGCTTCTCTCTCAGTAACTGTCCAACAGTAAGAGTAGATCTATCAAATCTGAAATGGAAAGATTCAAACACCACATTACATCCCAAACTGCTACTTAGACCGAAATCAATAACTTTTGTAAGAACCAACAGTTCAGAAATAATGTTAATATCAATATTTTGTTTAGGTACAGTACTTCAATGCATTTTCATTTTAAGCTCTTTTCCTGTTTCAAATTGTACCATTTCTGTAATGACATTATCATGGGTGGTGGCACAACATAAATTTTTAACTGACCAATGTCTAAACCTCATCTACTTTGTGGATGACTTTTCAGTTAAAACAAGGCATTAGCGATGTTGTCTCGCCCACTTGTGAAAATAACTAGAATATCGCAATGTCCATTGCCATCTATAAGAATTGTAGGGCCTATCGCAAGCTGATTTTGAAATATCTGCCATAGAATGCAACATCCCATAAACTTTGAGAAGGGGTATTACATGATATGCTACTGCCTTTCACCACCTGCTTCCACTGCATCTACTCCCTCCCCCTTTGATACGAGTAGAATTATTGCATTGATATTTTACATGTGTGAAGGTAAAATGTGTTTGTGTTTGTAGTGTAGCTGAGGTTTGCAGGTAAACTTAACGCTTGACCTCAAATGACTTTTGACCTCTCTATGTGCCAATGTTCAACCTGTGACTCCCCCCCCCCCCCCCCCCTCCACCCCACACTCCAGCAAAACATAGAGAGTCATAGACAGAAATAACCGTCTGGTGTGGGTCATTTCTTTAATCAAACTGACATTTGTTGATTAAACACTAGAAATAAAAAAAGAAAAAAAAAACAATTGCATTTTATAAAAAACCAATATGAATGTATTACAAAAATAAATACAAATAGTGAGCCCTCATTCAAGACCAGTTTTGGTCATGCGATTGCATTGCGAAAAAAACGTTGTGAAATCGATCACAAAAGGTTGATCATCTAGCATATACGGTAAGTATTGGTGTGTACTGAAAGGTTCTGGATCATCAAAATGATGAGAAATTTGACCCAGTCATGGTAAAGTTACAAGCACTGTACACAGAAAGATGTATATGGGACTATGCGACACATGCGCAATATCTATCCACTCCGGATAGATATAATAATTTACCAAAATATCAATTAGTATCAAAATTTGTATCATCAGCTATTAGTCAAAACATATTCTTTCACATGATTGTTAAAAAAAGGTACCATTTCATTTTTTGAGAGGGGGGCTTTTCCAAAACTGGTCTATACCTTTACTGACATAATTAAAAGTAACTTGGTAGTGTCAAAAAGTTATATAGAAAATTTCTTAAAGGCCATAGCTTTCGTATTCTGCATTCAATTGTTCCCAATTATGCGGATCTGTTTCATTCCATCATAGCTTTAATTTAAAAACTACTTGACTTCAGCCTTTCTAAGCATATCAACTTACTTTCTGCAACTCTTCTTCAACTCTCAGTAACCTAAAATACAAACAAAACAAAACAAAAAATTACATTTAATAAAATACCATATCAATATATTACAATAAATACAAATAATGAGCCCTCATTCATAATGCTAAATGACATAAATAAAACAAGTCAACGCAAAGCATAGCATCCCCTCGCAGGGTACATACTGGGAAATCAAACTAAGGCCATGTTTTGATGCCATGTACTTTCATATCAAATTTGATTAAAATCCGTCAAACATTACTAAAGTTATCGATATCAGAAACCAGATTCGCATATTTAATGAGCTATGACCTTTGACCTACATACTCCGAAATTGAACTTATGCTGTGTTTTTATACCATGTACCTTCATATCGAATTTCATGAAAATCCATCAAATAATACTAAAGTTATCAAACAGAAACCAGATTCGCATATTTAATGAGCTATGACCTTTGACCTACATACTCCGAAACTGAACTTATGCTGTATTTTGATAGCATGTACCTTCCTATCAAATTTCATTAAAATCCGTCAAACATTACTAAAGTTATCGAATAGAAACCAGATTTGCACATTTAATGAACTATGACCTTTGACCTACATACTCCGAAACTGAACTTATGCTGTATTTTGATAGCATGTACCTTCATATCAAATTTGATTAAAATCTGTCAAACATTACTAAAGTTATCAATCGAAACCAGATTCGCATATTTAATGAGCCATGACCTTTGACCTACATACTCGGAAATTGAACTTATGCCTCGTTTTTATACCCTGTACCTTCATATCGAATTTCATGAAAATCCATCAAATATTACTAAAGTTATCGAACAGAAACCAGATTCGCATATTTAATGAGCTATGACCTTTGACCTACATACTCTGAAATTGAACTTATGCGGTGTTTTTATACCATTTACCTTCATATCAAATTTCATTAAAATCCGTCAAACATTACTCTAAAGTTATTGATTTTAAACCAGATTTTACTTAAGGCACACACAAGAAGGGCTTCGACAGCGAGCAGCATAATACAGGGGTCTAGATCCCCTCCTTCTAAATAACTGTCCAACAGTAACAACTCTATTTACCTCTGCCTCCTTGCTTCTCTCTCATTAACTGTCCAACAGTAAGAGTTCTATTCACCTCTGCCTCCTTGCTTCTGTGTCAGTAACTGTCCAACAATAAGAGTTCTATTTACCTCTGCCTCCTTGCTTCTCTCTCATTAACTGTCCAACAGTAAGAGTTCTATTCACCTCTGCCTCCTTGCTTCTATGTCAGTAACTGTCCAACAGTAAGAGCTCTATTCACCTCTTCCTCCTTGCTCGTCTCTCAATAACTGTCCAACAGTAACAACTCTATTTACCTCTGCCTCCTTGCTTCTCTCTAAATAACTGTCCAAGAGTAAGAGCTCTATTCACCTCTGCCTCCTTGCTTCTCTCTCAGTAAATGTTCAACAATAAGAGCTCTATTCACCTCTTCCTCCCTGCTTCCCTCTCACTAACTGTCCAACAGTAAGAGCTGAATTTACCTCTGCCTCCTTGCTTCTTTCTCAGTAACTGTCCAACAGTAAGAGTAGATCTATCAAATCTGAAATGGAAAGATTCAAACACCACATTACATCCCAAACTGCTACTTAGACCGAAATCAATAACTTTTGTAAGAACCAACAGTTCAGAAATAATGTTAATATCAATATTTTGTTTAGGTACAGTACTTCAATGCATTTCATTTTAAGCTCTTTTCCTGTTTCAAATTGTACCATTTCTGTAATGACATTATCATGGGTGGTGGCACAACATAAATTTTTAACTGACCAATGTCTAAACCTCATCTACTTTGTGGATGACTTTTCAGTTTAAACAAGGCATTAGCGATGTTGTGTCTCGCCCACTTGTGAAAATAACTAGAATATCGCAATGTCCATTGCCATCTATAAGAATTGTAGGGCCTATCGCAAGCTGATTTTAAAATATCTGCCATAGAATGCAACATCCCATAAACTTTGAGAAGGGGTATTACATGATATGCTACTGCCTTTCACCTGCTTCCACTGCATCTACTCCCTCCCCCTTTGATACGAGTAGAATTATTGCATTGATATTTTACATGTGTGAAGGTAAATGTGTTTGTGTTTGTAGTGTAGCTGAGGTTGCAGGTAAACTTTAACGCTTGACCTCAAATGACTTTTGACCTCTCTATGTGCCAATGTTCAACCTGTGACTCCCCCCCCCCCCCCCCCTCCACCCCACACTCCAGCAAAACATAGAGAGTCATAGACAGAAATAACCGTCTGGTGTGGGTCATTTCTTTAATCAAACTGACATTTGTTGATTAAAAGCACTAGAAATAAAAAAAGAAAAGAAAAAAACAATTGCATTTTATAAAAACCCATATGAATATATTACAAAAATAAATACAAATAGTGAGCCCTCATTCAAGACCAGTTTTGGTCATGCGATTGCATTGCGAAAAAAACGTTGTGAAATCAATCACAAAAGGTTGATCATCTAGCATATTCGGTAAGTATTGGTGTGTACTGAAAGGTTCTGGATCATCAAAATGATGAGAAATTTGACCCAGTCATGGTAAAGTTACAAGCACTGTACACAGAGATGTATATGGGACTATGCGACACCCATGCGCGATATCTATCCACTCCGGATAGATATAATAATTTACCAAATATATCAATTAGTATCAAAATTTGTATCATCAGGTATTAGTCAAAACATATTCTTTCACATGATTGTTAAAAAAAGGTACCATTTCATTTTTTGAGAGGGGGGCTTTTCCAAAACTGGTCTATACCTTTACTGACATAATTAAAAGTAACTTGGTAGTGTCAAAAAGTTATATAGAAAATTTCTTAAAGCCATAGCTTTCGTATTCTGCATTCAATTGTTCCCAATTATGCGGATCTGTTTCATTCCATCATAGCTTTAATTTAAAAACTACTTGACTTCAGCCTTTCTAAGCATATCAACTTACTTTCTGCAACTCTCTCTTCAACTCTCAGTAACCTAAAATACAAACAAAACAAAACAAAAAATTACATTTAATAAAATACCAATATCAATATATTACAATAAATACAAATAATGAGCCCTCATTCATAATGCTAAATGACATAAATAAAACAAGTCAACGCAAAGCATAGCATCCCCTCGCAGGGTACATACTGGGAAATCAAACTAAGGCCATGTTTTGATGCCATGTACTTTCATATCAAATTTGATTAAAATCCGTCAAACATTACTAAAGTTATCGATATCAGAAACCAGATTCGCATATTTAATGAGCTATGACCTTTGACCTACATACTCCGAAATTGAACTTATGCTGTGTTTTTATACCATGTACCTTCATATCGAATTTCATGAAAATCCATCAAATAATACTAAAGTTATCAAACAGAAACCAGATTCGCATATTTAATGAGCTATGACCTTTGACCTACATACTCCGAAACTGAACTTATGCTGTATTTTGATAGCATGTACCTTCCTATCAAATTTCATTAAAATCCGTCAAACATTACTAAAGTTATCGAATAGAAACCAGATTTGCACATTTAATGAACTATGACCTTTGACCTACATACTTCGAAACTGAACTTATGCTGTATTTTGATAGCATGTACCTTCATATCAAATTTGATTAAAATCTGTCAAACATTACTAAAGTTATCAATCGGAAACCAGATTCGCATATTTAATGAGCCATGACCTTTGACCTACATACTCGGAAATTGAACTTATGCTGTGTTTTTATACTATGTACCTTCATATCGAATTTCATGAAAATCCATCAAATAATACTAAAGTTATCAAACAGAAACCAGATTCGCATATTTAATGAGCTATGACCTTTGACCTACATACTCCGAAACTGAACTTATGCTGTATTTTGATAGCATGTACCTTCCTATCAAATTTCATTAAAATCCGTCAAACATTACTAAAGTTATCGAATAGAAACCAGATTTGCACATTTAATGAACTATGACCTTTGACCTACATACTCCGAAACTGAACTTATGCTGTATTTGATAGCATGTACCTTCATATCAAATTTGATTAAAATCTGTCAAACATTACTAAAGTTATCGATCGAAAAACCAGATTCGCATATTCAATGAGCCATGACCTTTGACCTACATACTCGGAAATTGAACTTATGCCTCGTTTTATACCCTGTACCTTCATATCGAATTTCATGAAATCCATCAAATATTACTAAAGTTATCGAACAGAAACCAGATTCGCATATTTAATGAGCTATGACCTTTGACCTACTTACTCCGAAATTGAACTTATGGCGGTGTTTATACCATTTACCTTCATATCAAATTTCATTAAAATCCGTCAAACATTACTAAAGTTATTGATTTTAAAACAGATTTGTTAATGCACACAGAAGGAAGGTCGGGCTTCGACAGCGAGTAGCATAATACAGGGGTCTAGATCCCCTCCTTCTTTGGCGAGGGGATAATTATTATCCCATGACTTTTACAAGCCGATCGCCTGTCAGCTGTGACCTGTCTAATTATCAACTAGCCTATCAAGATATTTATGATTGAATTAGAAATTAATAGATCTAGACTAGATCTAGGTCTAGTCTAGATCTATGATCTAGGCCTATAGTCAGATATAGGCCTAGTATCTAGATCTAGTAGGCCTAGATCCCTACCGACTTACGGTTTTAATTTATAACACTGACTTAGATCTAGATCTAGAACTAGGTCTAGATCTAGACTAGGACAGGTCTACGGTCTACACTCTATTGGGGGAAATGAGTATGGTAAAACCGTTCAATCAAAGTCAAACTGAGTCAAAGATTTTCACTTTTTTGAAACACTTCCTTTTCGTTTTTCGTAGGGCTTCAAAATTCAATCACAATCACACTCACTACTCAGCTCACTGAGCTGATATGATAACACGCAGACCTATATACGTATCGCATCTCAGACTTGATTTGTACTAAAACTGCAAACATAATATTATAAACAAAGTCAATGCCTTTAAAAGTTTAAATACACTCACACACTTATGCGATAACGCAAAATCTCCAACAAACTAATAAGAAAGATTCACGATAAAGTAATACAATAGCAACAACCGAATTCTTACCAAAACTAAGCTAGCAATCAGCACAACAGCACAACTATAAAACAGCAGTACTCAGAACTCATATGACCATGATCATGAGAATGTGCATGCAATTCGAATCGGCCAAAATCTTGGTCAGATTAAATTCGCCCTACAGACAATTCGCCCAGTATATTTCTCGCGCATATAATTTCTCACGAAATGCATGATTTTGCGTGTTTAAGGGAAAAGGAATGTCAAAACAATGGATATCTGATACCTTGTCGTTTAGGCCATGTAAAAAGAATATACATGTTTAGCGTCCCCGCCCGCTTCCTTTTGTGGGCCGCCTCCTATTATTTTTTTGATTATTATTATTTATTTTTTTTGATTTTTTTTTTTTTTTAGAGAAAAAAAACATAAAATGTCGGCGGCCATCTTGAAAAGTAGCCCGACTGACAGGGAAAATGTACCGAGCAGCCATTTTGAGCGGCCATTTTGAAAGAAAAAAAAAAAAAAAAAAAGGGCCTCCCCCTTCCTATTTTTCCTAAAACAGGACGCTAAACATTTTTTTTTTTTTTATTGGCCTTATTCCATTGCTCCTTAATTTTCTCTAGCTCTTTCCGTTGCCTAGCTTTGGCTAGCTTTGTATTCTTATTTCACGTGCGTATACCTACCACCATTTCCTTATCCTCGATCTCCCGCTAGCTCTCTCCTTCCAAGATATGCGCATTTCTGATTCCTCGATCTTTCATCCCTCTGTCCAGCTCATGTATTTTTACATGACTATAACGTACCGTCTTCCTCTTTCCTTCTCTTTATTTATATCTCACCATTTTTCATTTTGATGACGTCATCATAGTGAAAATTTCGATTAAATGCGACATGTCAGAATTTTCGTAATTTGCGTGTCATGCCTACCGAAGGTGACTTTTTCTAAAATTTGGATTCTACATTCCTGTCTTTTGCGAGCAATATCGCCATTATTTCTGCTTGGTTTTTGTTGATTTTTGAGTATGTTGTAGCTGAGACTATATGTTATCTAAATGTTCCCTCATTTTTTCAATCAGATGTCAGGATCACGCTCATGATCATCATTATCTTAATGATGATGATCATCATCATCATGGTCTGAAATCTGGATTCTACATTCCTGTCTTTGGCGAGCAATATCGCCATTATTTCTGCTTGGTTTTTGTTGATTTTTGAGTATGTTGTAGCTGAGACTATATGTTATCTAAATGTCCCCCTCATTTTTTCAATCAGATGTCAGGATCACGCTCATGAATGATCATCATCGATCACTATCATGATGATCATCATCAATACCATCATGATCATCATCATCATATCATCATCAAAATCATCAGGATCATGATCATGCATGATCATCAACATCATCATCATCATCATTAACATTATCATTATAATCATCATCATCATCACCATTACTATCAAGATCATCATCTTCATCATCATTATGATCATCATTGTTTACATGTACATGTCTATATAATTTCTCTCTTAATTTCTCTATATGGGAGATGACTTTTCTCAAATCTGGATTCTACATTCCGTTCTTTTGCGAGTAATATCGCTGTTATTTCCACTTGGTTTTTGTTGATTTTTAAGTATTTTGTAGCTGAGACTATATGCTATCTAAATGCATGTCTCCCTCATTTTTTCAATCAGATGTCAGCATGATCATGATCATCATCAATATATTATATCATCATCATCATCACGGCGTCTCCAACAATTTTTCTTCTTCCCTTTCTTTTTCTTTTTGACCTTTCACTGTACCATCTCCTTTGAATATTAACACGTATATCGCAAATAATGTAATAAACAACCATATTTACTTTATTATTACCCTATTATCACTTGATCCATTACTTTTTGCGTGTAATCCTTATGGGAGATGACTTTGTCTCAAAATCTCTACATTCTTGTCTTTTGCGAGCAATATCGCCTTTATTTTGGCTTGATTTTTGTTGATTTTTGAGTATGTTGAAGCTGAGACTATATACTATCTAAATGTTCTCTCATTTTTTTCAGTCTGTCATCATGGTCTAGCTGTTGATGATATCATCAACATCATCATGATCATCATCATCATCATCGATCGTCATCATCATCACTATCAAGATCATCATCATCATGATCATCATGATGATGATCATTCTTTACATGTCTATATAACTTCTCCCTTTCTCAATATACAAAATATTATAATCTATCATAAGACTTGAAAACAGACCACCTTAATCGTCCTCGTGACGATTTAAAATCTAGTATTTATTTTGTGTCTGTATAGAAGAAATTATTATTATTCTTCCTCAATTTTGTTCGCAGGATATCTCAAGACTGAATGAAGCCATTGTTATGATCTTGCCATGATGATAGATCTTAGTCTAACTTAGAACTGCGTGACTTTTCAAAGACTCAAAGTCATCGTGACGTCATCCAGGCGCCATTTTGTGAAAATCAACTAATGATCATATCTTCATAACGGATAGTAATTTTTCATTCACATTTATCATGATAAGATTAATATCCGTCCGGTCAATTTTAGGTCAATAAACGTGCGTAAACGCGCGCGTACGCGTTCGTGCGCGCGTTAATGCGTGCGCAAAAATTAAAAAAGCTCTAAATCGTCTTAAATTTTTTTTGCATATGTTTTAGGCCATTTAAGGCATTTCGCAAAAAAAATCGCGCACACGCGCATGCGTGCGCGTTTCCGCGCGTACTGGCAATTTGCAACATAGAATCGCCGAATTTTCTCTGTCATCATATTTGGCACATTTTTCCAAGCATTTTGATAATTTGTTCACCTTTTATTAACGCAATGAGCGTCCGTCAAAGTTGACAGCGCTCGCGGATTTGCGTTATCTTTTTCCACAATACATGGGCAAAAACATGCCTATATAAAATTCATTGTAACTCTTTAGAATAGATAGAAACTCCTAATATTTTGTCATATTTGGATAGATTATGAGTCGGAGATATAATTTCTGTCTTTTGCGAGCAATATCGCCGTTACTTCTGCTTGGATTTTGTTGATTTTTGAGGATGTTGTAGCTGAGACTATATGCTATCTAAATCAACCCTCTTATTTTTTCAATAAGATGTCATGATCGCGCTCATGATCATGATCATGATCATCATGATCATCATTATCATAATGATGATAATCATTTATCAATTACATTTTCATTTCTTTGAATAAGATAAATCGTCATAAGTGTTTCTTCATGATGTAAATTAGAGTCAAATGTGTAACTGGTTACTGCACAGGGTCAAAGGTCATATATTGTTTCAATCTATCTTCCCTAGATCCATGATGATCAAGGAGACACATTTAATCTTGACATATGAATAGATCATAATGGGAGAAGCATATAAATGGGAGAAGCATTTTACAAAATAATATATCGTGTAATGCATTATTCGTTTATGTAACCATTATCATACGTATCACCTAATTCGTCTAAGTGACGAATTAAAGTCTAGTTATTATTATTATTATTATTATTTTTCTATTTATTAATTTCTAAGCATACTTTGTTCATGTTATATTTTAAAACAGCATCTGAAGAACTAACACTTCAACAAGCTCTGCTTCTAGTTAGTTCCTCTTTTCTCGTGCTTTTTCTATTATATTTGTCATTTCATTGCATATTTTTGTAATATACTTATTCATTGTATTATGTTTTGAATGAGAAATAAATCATTTGAATCAATAAATATCCAGATTTTTCCGGATAGTGATATCAAATAATCTGTTTATTCACGAGAAGACCGTTGACAAATAACGTACATCTTTATATGGCTTAATCAAACAACTCCATAGAATAATACACACATCATAAATCAATCTACCCTCGCCGTCTTGTGATAGACCATAAACGTCTACATGGGACATGCTAAGGCAAAGCTTTTAATGCATGTCCAAAATGAATTAAGTTCTGTTTGCAATTGTTTCAAGGAAATCGGAGATTTCGTTGTCAAGTGGATGAGTCACTTGACTGGCAATGCAGGAAACGTTGTTTCGAATCCCGGCACGGAGCACTTGTACGCGTCCTTGGCGAGACATATACCAAGTTGTTTTAATAACGATAGTTATTATTATTATTATTATTATTATTATTATTACTATTTTTACTATTACTATCATTAATATTAGTATTCATCATCATCATCATCATCATCATCATCATCATCATCATCATCATCATCATCGTTATCATTTATCATTATCATTATTATTGTTATTACCATCAGGCCTAATGCTACAACTACTATTTTCATTATTATTAAAATGACAATAAAGTACACATTTACAAACTACTGCTCCCATCACTCTCCTCTCAAGACACTCTTGTTATCTTTGCCCTGTTACAGGTTTGAACACAATCTACAAAGAATGCCATTATCGATCACTAACAGCAAAACTGCTGAGTTGGTTATTTTTTCACGGCGTTCACGTTGATCTAGTCAGAACTGGTTTCGAAATTTATTGATCGTCATCTTTCTTTACTATGTGTAAACAGTAACTTTACGTCCACCCTATAATATAAAAATAGATTTGTGTTTGTCCACATTAAAAGTGGGCCCTAGCTTCTATGCAATAAACTTACTGTACACGATCAGGAGTGAAATATTTGTACTCCTCTTGTGGTAGAGCAAAGTCAGTACCACCCCCACCTTTCTGTCTCTCTCTGTCTCTCTCTCTCTCTCTCTCTCTCTCTCTCTATCTCTCTCTGCATCACTCTGTGTGTGTGTGTGTGTGTGCGTGTGTGTGTGCCTCTCTCTCTCTCTCTCTCTGCCACTCATGCCATCTCTCTAATGTCTGGAAACATTCCATATCCCTTTGTTATTACAGTCGATAGATTGTTTTTATTAGGAAATGTATGAACTTCGGGCAGTTCAGTTTTAATTGCTGTGACGTAGTACATTTTGCTAACTAAATCATAATTATTACCAGAGCAATCAGAACCCAAAGAAGATTGCGACACCACCTATGCATTTGCTAATATTTCTCAGAGAACACCGGTCTGCGCATACCATTTCTACCGAAACAGCTCTTATAAGTCGTACACTAGGAATCTTGCTGCTTTAAACATTAAAGTTTAACCATGGCGCCACGTCTAGACCTAGAGGAAGATAAGGCTATTGTCTGTGATATTCTACATGGGAAGATGCTGAGGAAGGGGAAGGAAAGCCTTTACTTCAATCGAACAGAAGTAAGTTAAGTAGTGAGAAAAGTGCTTATTACTTATGAGTCATCAACATGATATAGATGGTCTACTTCCTATTTTAAGAAAACGATGTAGTTAGGCAACAGTATTGATATATAGAATTTTATTTTAAAAAGCCCAGTATTTTAATGCATCATAAACTATCAAGCTTGGACAGATCTCATTTATTAACTTTCCTGTTAATTCTGTTTTAATACTAACGCCTCCATAAAATGTAATTACAACCAAGAAAGATATCTTCTTTAATAACAATCTTTTCAATACAAATTGTTAAAAGCAGTTTAAGACAATAATCCATAATTCACCGTCCACGAGACCGGCCATGTTAGTCTCGCGGGCTGTCGGTTATAGAGAGATGGACATCTTCAAAATAAATGATTTTATTTTCTTTGTTTGTCTTAGGTTCATGATATAATTCTTATGATAAATATTGTTGGTGCCACTTACTGATTGTTTAGAAAAATTATATATTTGTAAACAGAATTAATAAATAAATACTAATGTTTCCATTAGAACACAGGGGAATATATATATTTATAATTGAAACCGGTCATAGTGAAGAAGTGAACTCTCAGGGATTTTTGTTTCAATCTTTAATTATTAATTTTTATATATTTGTATGTAACCAGATGAAAATTATAACGAACATCGATGAAACAGCTTCACCCGTTTCAGTTACAGTTTATCCTCATATATTTCGCAGAATTGGAATTTGTAAACTTGGCCACAACATTAAAAGAAAGAATGCCAAATAAACTAGAATATATACAATGATTATACAAGGCTTAACATACAATTACATTTGATTTCTCACTATTTTGAAATGTCTTTCACAGGACCAGCGAATACGTTATGTTCTTGCCGTTACATAGTTAGCTACATCAGTTTCTTAGGAATAGCATGTGCCTTTATGAATCGGGTCAACATTAGTGTTACCATGACAGCAATGGCAAACAGTTCATACAGCTCGACCTATGACCTATTCAACTCAACGGCTGAACTATGTCCTGCTAGGTCAAACAATGACAACGAAGAAAACGTCAGGGTAGGATGAATAAATTATTCGATTATGATATGGCATTTAAATGAAATAGTAATGATTATAATACTGTTAAAAGAGATAGAACGCAAATTTACCACATACATAATCTCTTAAAATGATCGCTTACATTTTAAATGAAAATGCACATTAACAAAAATTTAAAATAAAATTGTAGAAACATTTGACCATATAAACCTGATGATGGCTATTGAACGAGTTGTGATAATGCTAATCAAATGTGTTTTAAGATGTTCATTGAAGATATCATGGTGCGGAACCAAATTTGAAAATGTAAAAAAGGAAATCATCGCGAAGAAGATGTACATTCAATGTTTATAATAATAATGAGTATTAAAGCGCTATATCCACTTTACAAAATGTTCATTAGACAGACAAGAGAATCATACAAAGAAGGGGTGAGTGTGAAATATATATGCAGTGAGAAAAGAGTTAGGTAGAGAATGGTGGGAGAGAGAAAAGAGTACATGTTGTCGGTAAGAAAGAAAGAAAAGAGTTAGGTAGAGAATGGTGGAGAGAGAAAAGAGTACATGTTGTCGGTAAGAAAGAAAGAAAGAGTTAGGTAGAGAATGGTGGAGAGAGAAAAGAGTACATGTTGTCGGTAAGAAAGAAAGAAAAGAGTTAGGTAGAGAATGGTGGAGAGAGAAAAGAGTACATGTTGTCGGTAAGAAAGAAAGAAAAGAGTTAGGTAGAGAATGGTGGAGAGAGAAAAGAGTACATGTTGTCGGTAAGAAAGAAAGAAAAGAGTTAGGTAGAGAATGGTGGAGAGAGAAAAGAGTACATGTTGTCGGTAAGAAAGAAAGAAAAGAGTTAGGTAGAGAATGGTGGAGAGAGAAAAGAGTACATGTTGTCGGTAAGAAAGAAGAAAGAGTTAGGTAGAGAATGGTGGAGAGAGAAAAGAGTACATGTTGTCGGTAAGAAAGAAAGAAAGAGTTAGGTAGAGAATGGTGGAGAGAGAAAAGAGTACATGTTGTCGGTAAGAAAGAAAGAAAGAGTTAGGTAGAGAATGGTGGAGAGAGAAAAGAGTACATGTTGTCGGTAAGAAAGAAGAAAAGAGTTAGGTAGAGAATGGTGGAGAGAGAAAAGAGTACATGTTGTCGGTAAGAAAGAAAGAAAAGAGTTAGGTAGAGAATGGTGGAGAGAGAAAAGAGTACATGTTGTCGGTAAGAAAGAAAGAAAGAGTTAGGTAGAGAATGGTGGAGAGAGAAAAGAGTACATGTTGTCGGTAAGAAAGAAAGAAAGAGTTAGGTAGAGAATGGTGGAGAGAGAAAAGAGTACATGTTGTCGGTAAGAAAGAAAGAAAGAGTTAGGTAGAGAATGGTGGAGAGAGAAAGAGTACATGTTGTCGGTAAGAAAGAAAGAAAGAGTTAGGTAGAGAATGGTGGAGAGAGAAAAGAGTACATGTTGTCGGTAAGAAGAGAAAGAAGTTAGGTAGAGAATGGTGGAGAGAGAAAAGAGTACATGTTGTCGGTAAGAAAGAAAGAAAGAGTTAGGTAGAGAATGGTGGAGAGAGAAAAGAGTACATGTTGTCGGTAAGAAAGAAAGAAAGAGTTAGGTAGAGAATGGTGGAGAGAGAAAAGAGTACATGTTGTCGGTAAGAAAGAAAGAAAGAGTTAGGTAGAGAATGGTGGAGAGAGAAAAGAGTACATGTTGTCGGTAAGAAAGAAAGAAAGAGTTAGGTAGAGAATGGTGGAGAGAGAAAAGAGTACATGTTGTCGGTAAGAAAGAAAGAAAAGAGTTAGGTAGAGAATGGTGGAGAGAGAAAAGAGTACATGTTGTCGGTAAGAAAGAAAGAAAGAGTTAGGTAGAGAATGGTGGAGAGAGAAAAGAGTACATGTTGTCGGTAAGAAAGAAAGAAAAGAGTTAGGTAGAGAATGGTGGAGAGAGAAAAGAGTACATGTTGTCGGTAAGAAAGAAAGAAAGAGTTAGGTAGAGAATGGTGGAGAGAGAAAAGAGTACATGTTGTCGGTAAGAAAGAAAGAAAGAGTTAGGTAGAGAATGGTGGAGAGAGAAAGAGTACATGTTGTCGGTAAGAAAGAAAGAAAAGAGTTAGGTAGAGAATGGTGGAGAGAGAAAAGAGTACATGTTGTCGGTAAGAAAGAAAGAAAAGAGTTAGGTAGAGAATGGTGGAGAGAGAAAAGAGTACATGTTGTCGTAAGAAAGAAAAAAGAGTTAGGTAGAGAATGGTGGAGAGAGAAAAGAGTACATGTTGTCGGTAAGAAAGAAAGAAAGAGTTAGGTAGAGAATGGTGGAGAGAGAAAGAGTACATGTTGTCGGTAAGAAAGAAAGAAAGAGTTAGGTAGAGAATGGTGGAGAGAGAAAAGAGTACATGTTGTCGGTAAGAAAGAAAGAAAGAGTTAGGTAGAGAATGGTGGAGAGAGAAAAGAGTACATGTTGTCGGTAAGAAAGAAAGAAAGAGTTAGGTAGAGAATGGTGGAGAGAGAAAGAGTACATGTTGTCGGTAAGAAAGAAAGAAAGAGTTAGGTAGAGAATGGTGGAGAGAGAAAAGAGTACATGTTGTCGGTAAGAAAAAAGAAAGAGTTAGGTAGAGAATGGTGGAGAGAGAAAAGAGTACATGTTGTCGGTAAGAAAGAAAGAAAGAGTTAGGTAGAGAATGGTGGAGAGAGAAAAGAGTACATGTTGTCGGTAAGAAAGAAAGAAAGAGTTAGGTAGAGAATGGTGGAGAGAGAAAAGAGTACATGTTGTCGGTAAGAAAGAAGAAAGAGTTAGGTAGAGAATGGTGGAGAGAGAAAAGAGTACATGTTGTCGGTAAGAAAGAAAGAAAGAGTTAGGTAGAGAATGGTGGAGAGAGAAAAGAGTACATGTTGTCGGTAAGAAAGAAAGAAAAGAGTTAGGTAGAGAATGGTGGAGAGAGAAAAAGTACATGTTGTCGGTAGAAAGAAAGAAAGAGTTAGGTAGAGAATGGTGGAGAGAGAAAAGAGTACATGTTGTCGGTAAGAAAGAAAGAAAGAGTTAGGTAGAGAATGGTGGAGAGAGAAAAGAGTACATGTTGTCGGTAAGAAAGAAAGAAAGAGTGAGGTAGAGAATGGTGGAGAGAGAAAAGAGTACATGTTGTCGGTAAAAAGAAAGAAAGAGTTAGGTAGAGAATGGTGGAGAGAGAAAAGAGTACATGTTGTCGGTAAGAAAGAAAGAAAAGAGTTAGGTAGAGAATGGTGGAGAGAGAAAGAGTACATGTTGTCGGTAAGAAAGAAAGAAAGAGTTAGGTAGAGAATGGTGGAGAGAGAAAAGTACATGTTGTCGGTAAGAAAGAAAGAAAGAGTTAGGTAGAGAATGGTGGAGAGAGAAAAGAGTACATGTTGTCGGTAAGAAAGAAAGAAAGAGAGATAGAGATAGCGGGAACACACCCTTGATAAAGAAAATGTTCGGGTATCTGAGTATCTGAGTATTTGACTGAAAATACATCTCGGAATACTTGATCATTATGGTTTGATTTGCTATCTATTATAATGAGGTAAATGCTTATTATTTTCCTCATCATGGCGATTGCTAATTTATAATTGATATCAAACTTTGGTATAATCAGTAGACCCGGAGTCGGAATAAGTTTGAACATCGCAAAACAGTAACACCATAACCTGCATAGTGCATACTGTTTTTTCACAAACAGACACTGATACAAACTCGTTTTGCAGAATTTCCTTTAGAACCCGCCCATCAGTACTGGGGCCCTTAATCACACAATCATAACAAACGGGAGATCTTTGAACAAAAATAGCAAATTACGAATGATAATGAATGTAATGATAATAATACGGTTACCCGAGAGATCGATCATACTCGATTTCCCGAATTCCGGGGCGAGTTTAAACACCGCAAGATGGGCAAGGAAGGAAGCACCCGATTAGGAGATCATATTAGAGCTAGAGGTCCCTAATTTCACAGTAATGTACTATGGTGCCTAATGCATGGAGTTCAAAACATTCTGCGTGAATGAAATTTACTATGATTTATAATGATTTAATAAATTAATTGAGTTGCAACTGTTAATGATTGATTATTTGAAACATGATTGTTAGCCGTCTCCATCATAATTATCTATACATACAGGAAGGAGAATTTCCATGGGATGCGCATACACAGGAACAGATCTTAGCTGCTATCTACTATGGCTTTCCCATCCTCCAAGTACCTGCTGGTATCTTAGCTGATAAATACCCTCAAACCTGTATCTGGTTGATAGGTGTAGGGTACCTACTATCAGCTATATTTACATTGTTCGTTCCTCTAGCTGCTTACGCTGGAGGAGCTCCTCTCATCATAACACTCCGAATTCTTTCAGGCCTCTCCGAGGTAGGTGGCTCTACAACTTTCTTCCTCTACAACAATCTCTAAAGGGTACTAATTATGTTTATAATCGGTGAAGTTTGGGAAGGACAGGATGGAAAGACGTCTCTTGTTACTATAAGTACATGTAGTTTGTTTTGAGGTGAATGAAAAGAAATATTTTCCAATAATTTTTTTTTGAGAATGACGAGTTAAGCAATATTATGGATGTTTGTGACATTAAAGCTCTAATTCTAACTTCCACACATGCCTTCTTGACTATTTTAGACGATGAAATGACAAGGGATAGAAAAGGGTGTGACAATTATATATTAATGTTAACTTTTTGTTAATATTCGGAACTCTTTTGTTGCATAGTATATGTCGTATTTTACTTATACTTATCTCTGACTAGTCATTATCATGCTTATCCGTTATTCATACTAACTTTTAATATCAACATTGTTATGCATAACATCATTATTGCGACCACGTGTTACATTGGTTACATAATCATTCATTTGTATAAATGGTTGCATTTAGTCCGAATCTATCGTAAGTGCTCCTATCAATCGCAACATCACAGTCGGTTATCTTTTAGTATTTAGTTGAGATTGATAGTATTCTGATGTTCAGATGTGGTCTTTTCCGATTAATCAATCTTTATTTGACTTTTCAAATGTTGTATTTTTCATATTAGCAAAATTCTTAAAGAACTAATTTTCATCCCATTTAAACAGAGTGGCACGTACCCCGGTCTCTATTCTCTGATGTCTCGTTGGGCTCCCCCGGCAGACAGAAGCAAGCTACTCGCCATTGTCTTTGCGGGTAATGTTGAAAACATCTTCCCTACAACATTAATTCATTGCTTTGAGTAGAATGCTTAAAAATAGTATTTCTTGTCTCTTTAATCTGTTTTTGGAACTTTTTCTATACAGATAACTCCAAATTGTTCTAATATCTACGTTGTAAGCTTCGACGACTCTTGAACGAAAATAGAATTAGATAAAAAATACACACAGAAAATTAAGAAAGTGGACACTATTTAAACTTAAGATTGTCAACATCATTTCATCTTTCACATGTAAACATAAACGAAAATGTATCCTCTTTAAGATTATATGTAATTGGAATCATACCGTTCATGCATGAGTGAATCTGAAAGAAAATTACATAACTGGTCTTTCGAATGTTGATGAGGTATCCTATGGCTCGTTCACGATCTTGGGTGTAAAGGTGAAGCATCTTGACCGTGCAGTCCTGCAACTACAGATGACATTCAGTGCTCAATCCTCTATAATAATAGTTTCTCATTCTTTGTTTTCATTGTTGAACAAGAATGTCTTATATATGCAAATGTTCATTAAAATTTGAATGTTAATTGACGGTTCGTATGAAAATTGTAAACAATTAAGAGCGCCCATGCACTGTCTCCTTTTCTTCTTTTTTTCTTCTTTTTTGCTGAGAGTCTTGAATAATATTATGCTAATTGAATATGGATTAATGAATTCATTTTAAGATCCTTTGCATTCTCTCCTTTTCTTTGTCTCTCTATCTATCTGTTTCAGTCTCCAAAATAAGGTTTAGCCTTCTTGTCATTCGGTACACTATCTAGTTTGCAAGGCATACTTGACTATGTAAAAGTGCATTAAGCCAAATTTAATGAACTCATTCTTTATTCTAGATTAAGTCCTTTAAAAATAAATCTATTATTAATCTTCTTTTCAGGTTCATCTGTCGGCCAAATCATTGCCCAACCTATCTCTGGTATTCTCTCCGAGTCAGACTTCCTCGGCGGTTGGCCATCCACCTTTTATCTTTTTGGTGAATAAAACAGCTGATTGGATTATTATCAATCGTTCACAAAAACGTTTACGATTATAATAGTTGTTTACATGCGCAGATCTAAAACTATGAAGAAAAAAAAACTTATCGTTAGAGATTAGGAAATCACCATCGTTGAGTATTTTATGGTCGAAAGTAAAAGATATCTTTTCATTTAACTTTATTTTGTTGAAGATTTAAGCACATCGGAAGCTCTTGCAGCGCAGTAAAGTATGCGCTTTATAAATGTATGTGATGAGTATTTGTTTACCCATTAAAGCCATCAAGCTGCATGGTACATCACTAACGTTCTTACCCGGGTGTAATTATTGGATACTTTGTCATGTTTGTAGAATATAACACTTGCAATACTTGCACTATGGCTAATTGCCGCTGGCAGAGCGTTATCTTAAATGCATTTGAAAGCGTACCGAAAAAAAGTACATCAGTTTAAAATCTGAACAATCATTCAACATCTGAACCCGTCAAATAACTTAATTTGTGGTATTAATAATAATTAAATGAATCTCAGGTTATTAACAACTTTTAGTTCCAAGATATTTGTTTCTTATTCTTTATTTAGGCGCACTTTCATCTTTACACAATGGGGCACCATTAAGCAGGTTATGTTAAAATAACCTTACCCTCCAAAGACTTTCCATAAAGTTTTCTTGATAACTATTACGTATTAATTACATACGTACTTTAAGATATGGGAAAATATCTCTTCCAAAGAACAATGTCGCATTTTGTCTCGGGCCTTTGGTGTATTTCTATTCCGTGACTGTACGATCGTAATACGAATGTAGTGTATTTTTAAAATATTCTGTTGTAGGTTCATTAGAAGTGCTATGGTGTATCTTATGGTTTCTTGTGATATATCCATCACCTATGGCACACCCGAGGATATCTCAAGAAGAAAAGGATTACATCATGGCTGAACTCAAACTTGAAGATGAGGTAATTAACGCCATGTTTAATGGACATGCTATGATTTTTTTTCTCAAATAAGTGGGCTAATTCAATGTGTAGGTTTTTAAGTTGTGAAGTGACATGATCAATGCATGAACGAACATGATTATAATCGTATATCACAATATGCGCATTTTATAGCTTTGATAGTATCTGATTTGTTTTTCGTTTCCTTCTTGTTCAGCCACCCAAGGATTATCCATGGAAACACTTCTTTACTTCGCTGCCATTGTTAGCTGTGGTTGTCGCTGATTTCGCTCTGATGTGGGTTCTTTACTCTCTAACATCCAACCTTCCAATATTCCTGAAAGAAGCTCTTCGATTTGACATCTCTCAGGTTTGTAAAAGCCAGAACGCAGTCCATTAGGAGCAAAGTAAAACCAGGGGGGGGGGGGGGGGGTACATTTCCAAATGTGTCCCCAGAGTCTTACTCTCTATGTACTTTGGTATGCCTTCATCCGCCATTAGGCATAGTCTTTCACTTATGTTGTGTGGCTTGTTGTTTCGATTTACTTGTGCTATCTAAATAATAACATTACCAACATAATTACGATATCATGATGATACTCCATACCCCCGAGAACAGATGATAACATAAATTATTATTTTTATTCAATGTTTGACTTTTTTCATTTTTGTTTCCATGCAGGCTGGTATTTTGTCAGCTGTTCCGCACATTGTTTTCTTTATCTTCATCCTCGGTGGAGGAGTCTTAGCAGACTTCCTTCTCTCACACACCAACTTCAGCATCACCACCGTCAGGAAATTCATGACCACAATAGGTAATAAAATAATAATAATAATAATCCGGTTTTTTATATAGCGCTCAATACACCGATCCAACGATGTACCTAAGCGCTTTACAGATATATTATTACCCCGGTCATCGGATTCAGGCTTACCCGCACACAATGTGTGTAAGCTAGTTATGGGTACACCTAGCCGTCGCTTCACCAATTTAACTGGGGATGTTGGACTACTTCTGCCAACGAAGATAGCTAAAATTTCCCAATCAATCAAGGAAACAAGAACAACAAGTGGGAGGGGTCCATAGATTTCACCAACGATGTACAATCAGCAACAGCACGCATGTCAAATAGTACGCCTTATTTTTGTTGAATGGCCTCATAAAATCTGTAAACTCATAAACTTGGATGAGACTCTTAAAGGTTAAAGTCAATTTTGTATAAATTATTAAGTTATGATTTGCCAGGGTAATAATCGGGAGCGCCAGGAGGGTCAAATCTGATTGACATGAGCACTATACAAGAACCCACTATTATTATTATTATTATTATTTCATTTACAATTATGCTGTCAGTTTTAGGACTCGTTATGAATGAAACATTATTTTGTGGATGCCGTGACATCCTAATTATACGTTTTTTTTATTATGAACAGGTATATTGCCATCAGGAATATTCCTTGTCCTGGCTGGTTATGTTGGATGTAACGCACCTCTAGCTATTACGTTTATCTCTCTTGGACTGGCGTGTACTGGACTCGCTTATTCAGGCTCCTGTCTCTCCATGATGGAGCTAGCTACACCTTATGCTGGAATGGTCGTTGCTGTATCATACTCCATCGCAACTTTCACTGGTTTTATTTCGCCAGCAGTTGTTGCTATGTACACGGAGAACCAGGTAGGCCTGTAAATTTAATAGGACTATAGGGGTCCCACTCACCCCTGAAAATTGAGAAATACAGGTAATTGGGCAATGTGGTGCCCGAATATATATTTATGGTAACGAAAATGTATGTTTTACACCCATTATTTAAAGTGATGTTTGGCTTTTTCTTTTTAAATGGAGGGGGGGGGGGGGGGGGGAACGGGAAAAACAAAAATAAAACCAATACTAATTAGGTTAACAAAAACAAAAAAGAGTAAACTATAATTAACGACACGCTACAAATCGTTTTTATAAGGATTATCTATCTTATACGATGCTTCTCGAGAGGGAGCTTGTAAAATTGTTATTATTTCGTGCCTCGATCCTATGTTATTTTGCTGATAACGGAATACCATATCAAACGCTATCTTTCCCTTTGGCATAAGTTTGATATCATTCCATACTTTGTATCTTGCAGGCCGATATAGCAGGATGGAGATCATTTTTCTGGGTGACATTTGGGATTACTGTAGTAGCCTGGTTACTCTTTATGATCTTCGGCACTTCCGAGCTTCAACCATGGGCGAAAGGAGACAGGAGAAAAGACAAAACTGAGCATCGAGAAACCAAGTATGGAGGAATCATTGATAACGGGCTAGAATACAATAGTGAAAGAGAAGAGATCCTGCCGCCAGATTACACCTGATTCATACAAACTTGTGTCCAGAAATGTAGTATGCTGCATGGATGACGAAAACTCTATTTTACACGAAATTTCGGTCCACTTGAATTCGATGTCACGGATCGTGCATTTTCTAGGATTCTTGGGAGAAAATCTGAGATCTTATAAAGGGAGAAAATCTGAGACGTTATAAATTCATTATGGAATACATGAAATCAACGATATCTAAATTCGGAGATGTTTGAGGTCATCCGAATTATCATACAATTTTTTTCGGACTACTTTTTTCTTTCAAAAGCCCCATCAAAACTGCGTGTGTGTCATTCTGCCTTATGTTTGCCTATTTTCTGTCAATCATTCTCATGTACTTGTATTGGCGAGATTTTGTGAAAACTGAGTAAAAAATACACACAATTTTAATTTTTAATATTGGAAAAAGTTATGCGTATTTATGACTCAAATATATGACGCAAATGTTTGTTCTATGCAGGGGGGAAGAGTGGTAAGAACTTAATCAAAGTGCAATCCACACCTAAAAGATTTCAAACATCGTTCGTATAGTATGTGGCAATCAGTCCGAGGAACAACAAGCAATGCGTGATCCTGACTGGAAAGATTTGAGGGTTTCGCATTCACCGTAATCTAATACTGACTTTAATGTACATAAATTCGTTGAATTCATTGAATTTATTGAAAATCATTAATAAATCTAAGTGCTGATAATAAAGCGAGTATGTACATTGCATAAAACAAGAAGAAAGGCAAATTAAATGATTGGTCTATAGTTCGCTCTTACATGACTGTAAGCTTAGTATGTCGAGAGAGAGAATTAATAACTTATCCCTCTAGGATTGGTTTGAAATAAGAGCAATTTCTTAAAAAGTTAAATATAGATAAA